TCTCTCTCTCTCTCTCTCTCTCTCTCTCTCTCTCTCTCTCTCTCTCTCTGTGTGTGTGTGTGTGTGTGTGTGTGTGTGTGTCTATCTATCTATCTATATCAAACACTCCTCCTCCTCTCACTTTCTCCCTCCCCTTTATCTCTCACACACTCCCCCTCTATCCGCTTCAACCCCCCATTTCTCTTTCTCTGTCTGTCAGTCACTCACTCACACACACACAGTACCACACAGACACACACACACTAAAAAGGTTTAAGGAAAAAGAAAAGAAAAAGGGAAAAGGGAAAGAAAAAAAAAATAGTGAGTACGCAAGCACATTTTTGACATCCCCATCTTTGGCAATGTTTTTTTTTTTTTTTGGACCAGCCAAATGCTCTGAAAATTTTTAGGTATGTACCCTACATGCTACAGAACTCGTCAAAAACAATTCAAAAAAACATAGATTTTGTTAGGCCCCGAAATTAATTTTGGCAGGGGCCGAACTTTGGGAAGTTCACCCCCCCCCTCATGTTCAGCCGGACACCTGAAGATTCGGCGGGGGTGGATTCCTGCAATGAACCTCCTAGTTCAACACCAATGAGTGCACATATTCACACCACATGCACGTATGAGTTCACACGAAATTCACACTGGAGACCAGAGAGATGGAGACCAGGTAGCGCAGCTTATCTTTTCCAGAAAGTATTACAAGAGCAATAAGAGTTCAAGTCACCAGCGCTCATCAGCGCGTGCCAATAGGTAACCAATAATCAGCATAAACTCTCAGGTAAGTATTTCGTCCCCTCTGCTCTTCCCTCTTTTGCTGGTCTTCTCCCTAGCTATGACCTCGCTGTGTCTTCTCCCCCTACATGCATTCACGCTCACTATCTACTACTTCATGGATCTACTCTGAATACACCCACTGACAACTCTACTAACCCCTCTGGAGTCTACTACTAACAACTAGCACTAACACTTCTGCGCTGGCGCAGATATGGCTGCCTTCTCCCTGCCAGCGCTATCTTCCTCTCTCTCCCTCACTTAGCGCAGCACTCTGGCCTCAGAGCTCTGCTCCTCACTTCAGCGCACAAGTGCACCAGCACTTCCACACTTCTTGCGAATGAGCAATCTGCCTCAATGTGAGGCTGGCCAGTCCTTTTGTAGTCTTGGTTTGCACTTCAACTCGTGCCAGCCTCTGTTTCTTGGGTCCTGACTGGTTCCGGTACCACATCCCCACGGCCTGTCTGCTACTGAATGTCAAGGCCTGGAACCTTCCCGAATTTCCATTGGACTGCTGCTGCTTGGGCCTTTGAGTCATGACTTTTCACTTGTGAACATGACTTTTGACTGTGAACAGTGACTCCTGCCTGTGGGTCACGACCTTTGCCTGTGATTCTACCTTTTACTCGTGGAATGTGTCTCTTCAATATGACTTTTCATTAGGAAACGTGACTCCTACCTTTGAGACATGACTCTTGCTTGGTGAACCAGCCTTTTCACTCGTGGGATGCGACTCTTCGGAATGGTTTTTATTATGAGACGTGACTCTTGTCCCTGAGACGTGACTGTTTGCTGGGTGCCTGTTGGACCAGACTGCTGAGGAACCCGATTGTGATTTTTCTGAGTTTGACGAACTCGGCCTTTCCTTGACCTGGGCATCTGACCCTGAATTCCGAATTTGGGGTCTGAATCGTGGAAGGCCTTTCAGACCCACCATCACGTTCGGCCGGGTAACCCTGGTATACCAGGATAGATAAGGAATTAATAAAGAGTCGTTTCCATACTTGCGGCGCACCGGCACTGTGCGCTGCACGGTGCGCTGAGCAGTGCGCGCGCCGCGCATCTGGGTGCGCAGTGCGCGCTGCGCTGCGCACGTCTGGTGTGCTGCGCGCACGTGCGCAATGTATATTTCCATGTTCTAGTGGTAGATTCATTTGATTTTGTTCTCTCTCTCTCTCTCTCTCTCTCTCTCTCTCTCTCTCTCTCTCTCTCTCTCTCTCTCTCTCTTTCTCTCTCT